TCCCAGTGTTCCTGATTTCCATACATGGTACCACAGTTTACCCAACTCTACTTTTAAATTATATCCAGATTCTGGCCGTTTCCCAACATTTCCCCAGGCAACACCCTAATAGAAACCACCATCATCTCTTGCTTTGGCTACAGTTACAATGTCTCAACTAGTATTCCTGCTCCCAACATGGCAGCCAGACTGATTCTTTTAAAGTGGAAATGAGTCATGTCGCTCCTCTGCTCACAACCCTCCATGGTTCCCACTGTACTTGGACTAAACTCCAAAGTCCTTCCCGTGGCCTACAAGGCCCCCTGGATCCAGCCCTGCTAAGTCTCTGCCCTCGTTTCTTCCACTCGTCCCACAACCCCCTCTCTCTTTCTGGAGCTCACCAAACCATTTCTCATTGCAAAGTTTTTGTGTTTGCTGTCCTTCCCTGCCTGGAATATTCCATATGCTCACTCCTAGCTTTATTCAGATCTTTGTTCAATGTCTCCTCATCAAGAGAGGCTGATTCTGACCAGCCTGTAATATAACCCCCTTCATTACTCTTGATACTCTCAACCATGTCTTGTATTCTTGGCTCTTATCACTATCTGATGATAAACGTTATAACCATTCATTGGCTCATTATTTATCTTTTCCCCAGGTGTAAGCTCCATGAGTGCAAGAACTTGTTCTGTCTTGTTGATGATAATGTCTTAAAAGAATGAATTTAATCCTACAAAAATAGGAATGATGAAGTAACAATTTTAAATAATCTTTTATATTCTGGGCACCCTCTCCTGGGCACTTTGTAAATATTATATTTTTGATTAATTTAATCACTTTCAACCACCCTCTAAGGTAGGTGTTATCTTCATTTCATAGATGAAAATACTCATAATCATAGTGACTAATAAAAGGAGAGCTGGAGAGCTGGGATTCAAACTCTGAGTGGGTCTAGTAAAAAAATAATGATTTTTCCACTTAATTCATGTGATTTATTATTACAGATTATTAAATTATTATGGATAGTGGACAAGTTATTATAAGTTATTATTATATAACATTATTATTTCCAACTAATAGGTGAAAACACTGAGGATAAAGAGATGAGTGAGTTGCCTGGGATCATGCAGTTAGGAAGTGTTGAACTTCCTAGGTTTGGATCCTGGGTTTCCGTTTGGGCTCCAGTGGGCTCTTTTTGCACAACCACAGGATTTCTCTAACAGATATTTTGTGTCTCTCTCTTTATCTGGGAACTTTTATATTTTCCATCCATTATATTTGACCCTTTGTAAACTGGCATTTGTGAGTTCAACGCTAAGCTTTTCAAAATCTAGTCCTAAAACTTGTATCATGATTTTGCTTCATGTACAAGTTAACCTTTTGCTGATCTTTAAAATACTTGTGTAAGCTGAGTGAAAACAACAGAAGAGCTAAAATTTGCTGTTTTGCTTGTACTTACTTTCTATATCACAAATGTACCTGACTCCTATCAGGAATGGTTTAATGCTCAGGCATAATTTGCTGGTTCATTGATTCATTCCCAGGTCATAGAAAAGCCCTCAGCTGAAATATTTACTGATTGCAAGATAAGTGAGGTAATTTACTGAAAGCCTGTAAAAACATGGAGGTTTAGGTGCCGGGTACACTGCGTGGTAATCTCCATTTTAATTAAAGAATTACATTTATAATTAGCAAGAACAGAATTGAATAGGTTTGCCAGATACAAAAATAAATTGGAGCCTGAAATTGCAAACTAATATTTCACTGTGTTTTCAAATGCACACCTATGACTCCATAGATAAATGTTATATCCATACATTTGAGCTATGAAACCCTAGTATAAATATGCAAGTGGGGAGATACATATCAAAACATATCCCCGAAACAAAATTAAAATAGTTTCTATTAATAATATTATTCCATGCTCCATGTTTTTGCTGAAAACTCTTTGGTGTTTATTCTCCTATGGGTGGTATACTATATATCTGTCCAGACTGCTTTTATTTTTTTTCGATTAGTTTTGGAAATTTGTCCTTGTGTTGTGCAATACAAGAAAAATATGCTTAGTGGAGGTCTTAGAGTTGTATATGTAACAACTGAGAGAGAGAGAGAGAGAGAGAGAGAGAGAGAGAGAG